ATCTTGTATTACAGTAGATTATAATAACGAATATATTGTAATAAATACAATACCTCAATGTACCTACCTACTTAGTACCTATCTATAAACTATAGGATAAAAGGGAATCACGTAAACGACAAAAACCTTGAATGTAAGACACCAAAGAATTGAATAAACACCTAATGTGTTTATTCAATTCCAACCTCAGGATTTTCTAACTAAATAACCTAGTTTACGCTGGATTATTGTTTATAAGAATGTATAAAAAGAAAAAGAAATCTGGGTACCTACTTAATAAAGCCTTGATCACCAATAATACTAACAAATATGTTTTTAAGACAGCGTTTGTTCTGTTTCCCAATTAGAAAAATAAACTAGCCAGTTAATTAACTAACGTTTCCTCTTCCAAAATACCGCTAGCAGTTTATTTATTTATTAGCTGTTGCATAAATAATGTTATTGTATGATTTTTCTTAAATATTCTAGTTATTCAATAGTGCAAATTAATAGTAATAATATAAAATTATTGATGCGTAATTCCTATGTACCATAAATAACTGGGGAAAATAAAAAAAGACGTCGATCAATCTCACACATAAAATGTAAAAGTATGTAAAAAAAATGTATTAATTTATAAAATGTGATGAAGCCCATGTACCATAAGTCATATAATATATCATTATAAGAATAAATACAAGTTCTACATACGTCGCAGAGCATATTTTGTCGGTTACTGCGTTTATGTTATCCATGATCGCTATTTACGATGTGGCGCTCGCACTGGCTGGCGAATTCCTAGAAATCGAACTTGGCCTTGCCACTAGCCGCCAACTTGTCTTTTTAAATCCTTCGTTGTTCCATTACAAATAGATTAGATTTCCATCCATTTCAAATAGTTATTAAAATACATTCGTTTATCGTAGGCCATAATGTGTAGATTTTCTGTACGTTTATTTTAAATTTGTAAATATACTCATTATATTGTTTAATGGCTATCGTATTTATGACACATTTTACGTGCCTAATTACCAGAACATTATTCCTAATTTTTATATTTTTAATTCACATTGATTCGTTAGTTTATTTTCTTTTTTATTGTAACCTTGAAAATAATCGGTCTCACCCGTCTCACCCGCATCTGATATTTAATTTTTTTTTTTTGCTATTATACGAAAAAATTTACGAGTCTACACTGCAACATTATGAATACGAGAATTGCAAATAGCCACATTATGTTCACCAAACTGCAAATGATTTGCAATGTAGGTAAATGATTATCATGAAGTTAATTTGCTCACAAAGCCAGTCCGTACATCTAATATGGAAACTAGACAATAATCTAGTTCCACGAACTAGCCGCGGAGACCGCTTTCGTTACATGTACCTATGTATTCCTATAATTATTTAATAAAACGTATAAAAAGGTGAGAAATTTGAAACAGATATTTGGATAGATATTAGGCACTTTCTTATTTAAATTTCGCGAGTCGCAGACCCATATCACTCTTTATTTCAGTTTATTAATTGTGTTATTTAATTTTAACACAAAATTTTGAAAATGGAAACTTGGTATACCTACTTAGTATTTTCCTTCGCCCTATTTCTTTAGTTTTTAACATCACAAATTTAAGCTTAAAATCAAATCAACCATATAGATTTTTTATATTTGATACTAAAACAAAACGATTTTTTTAACGCATTCCATAACTTAATGAGCAGGCGGGAGATGGGCGCATCTCCGCATTCCACAAGATAAAGGTGCCCAGCCGTTCTATCAAAAAGAATGCGCGACGTCTTACAAAAAGTCAGATAGATGTCAAAGAAATCGAAACTTTATTCAGTACAAAATTCTGTGAAAATTTTAAACATGGCTTTAATAAAATATGACGGAATTCTCCATGATACTAAAACAATGTTTAACTACTGTATTGTTGGTGATATAATGTTTTTAAACACCTATTTAATTAAGTACATTTAATTAATATCTTTATAACTAACCTAAAAAATAAAATAAATTAATATTTTAATTATAAAACACAGCTGGCTAAGCGTGAGAACATTTTGCTGTGGCTTTTTAATGGTGCTTTCCTATATGTATGAGCTTTTGTTCACATTCTTATGTTTTAATGTTACTTTCGCGTATTCCTAATTATTTTTCCATCGTCCGTTATATGATAGTAAAAGCCAGGTCAAAATTGGTTCTGCCTTTTCAGAGATTAGCCGGCATAAATAGACAAGCAGACAAAAAATTTAAATTATTTGTTGGATTCATAGAAAATAAATACACTTAACAGGTCTATAAAGTTGGAACTATCATAAGTATTTATCTATGACAGTTGTAGTTCGGACGTTTCAGGCACTTAAATTTATATTTTTATAAATGCTACCAGTACATACAACTTATTGCTACACTTATGTTTCTCAGAAGTAAGATTTTTTTAATAATGCATAGGCGGGTGAGTGAACCTACAGCCTTGCTACTATTAAATGATTATTGTAACTTATAGACGTCACAATGTAAGTTAACACAATGATGAACTTAAAACACGAGCTCTAAGTCTTCATCTTAATAAGGCCATTTAACGACTACTCTAATCTTTAAACTGGAACGTAGACCGCGGCAAAAAGACGCAGGGTAATAGTATGTACTCGGATTTACAATACGCTCTACAACCAGTCATTACCCAAATTATAATTTCGATTTTTATTCCAGGACGATGTACTTTATTACTTCATCGTAATCATTCGCAAACCTTATTCCAATTTCATTAAATAGATATAAAAATAATTGAATGTCTGCGGGCTTTTGTGGATGTTTGTTATTGAACAAATGAATAGAAGGTAAGTAGTTTATAACTCGTAGGTACATCTGTGTGCTCAAGCTGTGTGCAGCTTCTTCGTTTGGCGCTAGGGGCGCTGTGCCAACTCCATACAAATTTGAGTGAACTTTTACGTTATCGAAAAGTTAAAAAACTCCCACTAAGCTTAAATTTAGCACGATCAACGTACGAAGGGTGGCGTGCGAGTAGTTTCAATAAATAAATGTTACATTGAAGTTTTCCGTTTCCGTTACAACTCGTTTATTTATGCTTTAAAAATCGGACAAGACACGGTTCGAAAAGATGTTTAAATAGAGGTTCAAGGGTCAAAGGGTACAGAGGAGCGCGGGTAGGTCGGCATCCATCAGGCTAGTGATCAGCGTGAGCCATACCACCAAGTTTCTCATAACTGGTTTAGCCGTGGGTGAGTGAGCTTGCGTGCTTAGTACGAGTTTTTTAACGTTTTCGATAGCGTAAAAGTTAACCCAATTTTGTAAGCAGTTGGAACAGCGCCCCTAACGGCAAACGATCCCATTCCATACAAATATGAGCTAACTTTTACGCTATTGAGAACGTTAAAAAACTCGCACTAAGCACACTGAAGTCTAAAGAGCAAAGTCGAGCTATGACATAAGTCGAAATTATGCGGCCGATAAGCGGGATGCGTTTGCGAAGCGTGAAGCACGCCGGGATATGTGTTGAACTCAAGCAAGCGAGGATGGTAAAAACTAGATTATTTCGCAGGTTGACGAGACAAGACACCAACATTTTGAGGTTGGGATTGTGACAACATAAAATTTATTTTTATTTTGATTAGAAACATAAAGGTAGCGCCATCTGTTGAAAAATGTATAAACACAAAATTCTGCGATCATATAGTAGAAACAAATTTTAATGAAAAACTTATCAATGAATCCGCTAGATGTCTGGTGATCTAGTTGTAATTAAATTAAGGTAATGCTGTAGCCCGCTAATGTAGCCCCAGCATTAAAGGATATTTATTTATTTAACACGTTGAGCGCCATGTGTATCTTTCTGGAAACACAAAGTACCACCTTTAGGGGCCGCGTGTTTCCTTTAGGAAACACGAGCAGTACTTTATTCGTAAGTTATGTCTAAAAATAACTTTTGATCAAAACGTCGTACAAAAAACCCACTCACACTGAAATAACCGTGGAGGCCAGAGGTATTAGAATTCATAGTAAAATGTATTGAAATGTGTTTCCTGGCGGACACACTGGCCTACGAATAAAGNGGAAACACGAGCAGTACTTTATTCGTAAGTTATGTCTAAAAATAACTTTTGATCAAAACGTCGTACAAAAAACCCACTCACACTGAAATAACCGTGGAGGCCAGAGGTATTAGAATTCATAGTAAAATGTATTGAAATGTGTTTCCTGGCGGACACACTGGCCTACGAATAAAGTACTGCTCGTGTTTCCTAAAGGAAACACGCGGCCCCTAAAGGTGGTACTTTGTGTTTCCAGAAAGATACACATGGCGCTCAACGTGTTAATAATGTTTACTTGCGGTGTGGCTCGCGTTATTGTAAAAGTTATTAAGAATGAGTACTTGTTTTCTGGATGAAGTAGGAAGTACAGCAAAAATGTATTTAACTGAACGGAATTCCATGAAATAAATAAAAACCTGACAAACAAACATACAACCGTAACAATCTGATATTTTTTCAGATATTTTTCAGATAACCTCACAGTGAATCATGAAGGACGTCGATGCTGTCAGAACTATTATCATAATTTTGATCTGATAAATGATATGATAAAAAGTAGCATATTGGGTTATGAAAGCGATATAGCTTAGCGCACCTCCTTTCTAACGCGTTTTTATTTGCATGACCTATAGCAATCTTTCATTGTGATTTCCATCGGCTTCTAGACAGCCGATAACATTAAATTTTTCATTGGAAGTCGTCATGGCCTAAAGGATAAGACGTCCGTTGTATTCGTGTTGAGCGATGCACCGATGTTCGAATCCCAGGCGAGTACCAATTTTTCTAATGAAATACGTACTGAACAAATGTTCACGATTGACTTCCACGGTGAAGGAATAACATCGTGTAATAAAAATCAAACCCGCAAAATTATAGTTTGCGTAATTACTGGTAGTAGGACCTCTTGTGAGTCCGCGCGGGTGGGTGCCACCGCCTTACCTGTATCTGCCGTGAAACAGTAATGTGTTTCGTTAATGTGGATTTAAAACAATGTATTTAATATTTTTGTTTGGCTTGCATTTTATTTTATCAGTAGACAGCAGTCTGACTGTGTCTGTACGACTGTGTGCTTGATATTGCTGATGACCATGAGCGATGGTGACTATTTACCGTCAAGTATAAAATTAACTAATTTAATTGTTTCAAATACCAAATTCACATATCGTTTCAGGCAATTCTAACCTAACCCAAAGAAGAATTTCACAGGACATCATTCTTTAATGAATAAATACTGTGTAGCCAGAACAATGAAGCCTTTGAAGACAGCATGATCACTGCAGTGTCATTTTTTTATTTACATCACAATTTGAATGCATGTTACACCTACTTCGAAACAGGACTTGAAAGTTTTAATACTATTTTAGCAAGAATTTAAAAAAGACGTCCATGCATACCGACATACCCTATTCCACTCCTAGCAGCAAATATGCCTCCTTAAGTAATAAGGGAATCCTAATGCCATTAAAGGGGCTCGAAATGTTGAAATACATTAACACTGAGTATTGAATGAGCAATTGGATGACTATGTAACATTATACAGGTATTTAAATAACACCCAGAATAAAAAAAGGAAATTTGGGAAAGATGGTTTATTTTACAATTAAATTTAACACTTATGCTACTCCCCAAACTTCTTCAAATGCTGAACAAAGTTTAGCACAAGTCAATGCTGCTGATAAAGGATAATTGCTGATAGATATGACATCTTCAGAGTAGTCTACTTCAACTTTACCATGAGCCATTGCACCTATGACCATCACAATGGGTTCGTCTTTTGGGACCAGATCTCTGCAATTCTGAACTATTTTAGAACTAAAAGACATAGTAATTTTCTTGACTCCAACTGGTAGATGTGACGTGACAGGATTTTTAATAACTTTCAAAAGTTTCATTGGCCCATCTGATGCTCTAATTGCAAACTTGTGTAGAAGTTGAACTGTGGAATTTAAAAGAAGTCACATTTTAAGCATTTTGTAATTCCTTTCTTTAGATTTTTTAACAATTTGGGCAAAGACTCTCAACTTACCTAATAATCTATCTACTTTTTAGAAAATATGCTTTTATACTAGTCTATGTATCTTTTCCTAATATTTTAAAGAATTGATTATTAAAAAAATATATAATTATTACATAGATGGATGAATAAGCTTAAAGCTCTGTTAAATGGTTACCTGAGCACTACACATCAAAACATGTGTGCTGACACTGACCTTGAGACATAAGATCTAAGTCTTAATTGTAGAAGTATATCTGCCCATCCTTCGAACAGGAAAGCATCACATATATGCGCACCTACTGTAGCAGGCTTACAAATTGCCTTGTGAGTATGCAAACTATTCTTTGTGCAGGTTCTAAAGATCCATTTGAATTTAACTCATTTAAAGAGAATTTATACTATATAACACAGACGAAATTTCAGATGTAAATAGCATGATTAAAAAAAAATACAAACCCATTAATCCAGCAAAACGCTTGAATGTTCTAGGTATTCTTGTTTGTGGATTAATTTCGATTAAAACATTTTTTTCTGTATGAATATAGACCTGCAGTAAGCCAGCTCTGTTCAACGGGGAGTCCATCAACATGAGGAGAGACTGATGCGTAATATCTGGGCGACAAGAACCAGGATCACGATCGTTTTTTCTTAAAATGTGACCATGGTCATCACAGTTTAATAGCTCAAAGCTATTTCCATTCTGAAAATTTTATTCATAATATAAGATAAAATGTTTATTATTTACTCATTAATAAAGTAATGGGATTTTGCAAGGTCAATATTTCACTTACTTTCACGCTTTCCAGTTGTGCGTTTTCCAGGATAACTATAAGACGTTTTTCCTGCTTTTTTATGTGTGAAGTAACCAAATGTTTAGGAATCGGATCAAATTCAAAATCATCATCTTTAGAAACCAATTTTCTTTTTTTACCCATTTTAGAATGCACCTTGCAATGTTATGACTTATTTAAAGCAATATACTACGACCGTCATCAGGAAAGTATTTAGTTTCGAAAACAAAATTAACTTCTAAAGTTCAATTCCGTGAATCAACAAAACAATAACACGTGCTTACTACTGTCATGCTACTGTCAGTGTCATAGACCTATATAGTAGGGACACGACATATTGTTCTATACGTATAATAACCGGCAAACTTCTTGAGCATTTGTTGACGTAGTGGGGGTAAGTTTGCGCATGGTACACTCACGTGCAAAAACATTATTTACTCTGCGACATAATGCTATTAAATTATTAAAATCAACATATGTATTTATTTATATATTTATTAGAACATCAACAAAACATATAGGTTAATAATTGTAATAATTTAATCTTGGGGTAAAATAGATATTCCTTCTATTAAGTCAAAACTAGAGCTGTTGCCAGGTCTTGGTTCAGTTAAAGCGAAGCTGATATTTGTAATTTTTTTTTCGTTATCATAATCTCGACCATCATCATCATCACTGTTTTCATCACCCGAGTCGCTATCATCGTGATGAGTCGACATAGGGCTCATCGGCGTAGTTTACAACTCGGTCGATTCGGTCTTCTTTTTTGTCATAATTAATTATTTTTTGAAGATATTCGATTCGTAGTAATCGAATGTTACTTTTTTCATTTACCAGCTTCCGATTATTTTCTGTTCTTTTTTTCCATCTGAAGCCTAGCTCTTTCATAATTCGTCGTAAGCTTCATTCCGAGCCATTAAAATTTATATCTTCTTTAAATTTTTCGAAGCCTTTCTACGGTACGGAGTTTCGCTGCTTGTTATGTAGTTATTATGATTACANCCAAAACACGTCATCTCGGATCCTCCCGATCCACTAACGGTGCTTTTAGGTACTTCAAGCACCGGTCACCGTTCTCGTCGAACCCGTCGCTTGCGACGAAGGGCTCGACGAGTAAACTAACTCTCAGACACAGCCCACTGAGTTTCTCGCCGGATCTTCTCAGTGGGTCGCGTTTCCGATCCGGTGGTAGATTCTGCGAAGCACGGCTCTTGCTAGGGTTCGTGTTAGCAACATCGTCAGGTTTGAGCCCCGTGAGCTCACCTACTAAAGTTAGGGTTACGCTGACATAGCCGCTAGGGCTATCAGCTTAGGTAGGAAAAAAAAAAAAAAAAAGGTACTTTGCGAGCCACTCTTCCGAACAACCCTGCTTCTACCAAACATCGTCGAACGGTTCTCGCAAATACACCGGCTCTTTCGTTTGCCCCAAACACTTCGTGTTTAATTAAAATAGAGCCTAGAAACGGATCTTTCTTAGCTAACCTGGTTATCATTCTATCTTCTTGCGGAGTCGGTTTTCTCTATCTTTTTGTTCTGGACACGTTTAAAGCTGTGTTATAGCGTTTGAAATGTTGCACTGCATTGCATACCATAGTTTTTGAACAATTTAAATGTTGTGCTATCCTTCGGTATGACCAACCACGCTCGACAAACTTCATGATAATTTTTCGTAGTGTCGGATCGCAACTTTTATTTTTGTCTATTTTTCTTCAAAATAATTCTCAAAACTTAAAATAAAAAATCGGGATTGCCGCCAAAACGACCACTAAACAATAAGAAAAGAAACAAAAAAGTATTAAAATTCCAATTTTTTAATTAGAACACAATACCTCAGTGTCCCTAATTAAATGGCCAGCCAGCATTATTTGAACCAATAGCACTATGATATTGTATCAGCTATACTGTAAAGAGGTTTAATGTTTAAGAAGTTATTATTGTTTGTATAATCGCGCACATAAATGACTAATTACACTTACATGTAAAAGATATGGAACATTGCTAAGACTCGTTGGAAAATAAAAAAAATATTCACAATTTGGCTTAACTAGAGATTGTCCCTAATTAGTTGACCACGACTGTATATTCAAATGAAGATCAAGTAGAAGATAAATTAATGTAATTAAAGAAACTACTAATAACATTAAGTATGTAATTGTTTATAAGCTTGAAACTACTATGAGCATTTTTGATAATATATATCTCACGATTTCACTTACGTAATTTAAAATTTAGAGGTAAATTACTGTTTATTATTTAGTTATTTATATTATTATCTTGTTTTGACTCATTAATATGAGAAAAGCTGGCTCATGGACATGCAAATTTCATCTGCATTATTATCTGTTTAGAATATTATTGATCAAAATGTTATATGGCGATTAGTATTTTACCAAATTTATGCAATCATGTCGCAATAAGTAAAGTGTAAAAAATTTAACAGGCACTTTTTAGAATTTAGAAACTATACCTCGTGGCAACAAAGTTCATCTCTTAACAAATAAAACCATTAAAAATTATATAATAAATATAATAATAATATAATAAAAACAAAAAGAGCAGTAGCATCATTGATAAAGAATAGACAAACTACACAGAATGTTCGAAGCAGTAGGCACTGTAATCGAAGCGCACAAATATTCAATAGGGTTCAACTGCATGCCAAGACCATACAATCTATGGCCTGGGGCGTAAATAAGTGTGCAATTTAAACGTGACCATGGGACTAGCAACATTATAATATATGTATATATACATATTATATTCTCTCTTCTTCTCTCTGCCTTGTTTCTCGATTAATATTATTTAAGACTCTAATCTAAGCAGCCATCAACATAAGTCACTCACACTGCATCTGTTACCCCATCCAATAACTGAACAAGACTAAATTTTGGCTTGGTTTTAGTTTTTGTCTCACATAATAATTTTACATTAAAACCCAACATAGATTACCTGTTAAAACCTGAAAGATGTTACAATAACATATTAATAAATAGGGCATTTATAATTAGTACAATAAACAATTACTAGATGATACTCACAAATCTAACAACATTACTTACATTATTGACTAAATCTCCTGAAAAGTTTTACATTCTAAAAAAAACTTATTACATCTTCACGCTTTGTATGCAGGTGTCGTGACGTAAGACAATATTATGTCTTCACAGAGGTATTGAACTGATTGATTAAGACTCCACATTCAATCGTTTAATTTGTGACTTAACATCTTAGCGTTTTTTAAGTTACATACATTGTCTATTTTTTCCAAAGGATTCTTATTTCAAAAGTTAACCGCTACCTAGAATGAAAGAATTTTTGTTAGTCATGTATAGAAAAATACGTTTTTTACTTGTGTTTACATTTTACTTGTGTTATATTTTCCATGGTTATCTATTATTTTTTGTATGTACTTAGTCTGGCCATAAATACTGTTACAATTAAAAATAAACAAAATATTACATTTGAATTTGGAATCTGTCATTTTTATATGATTGCTCATTGATATTTTCTCATTTTGGTGCCAATACGTAGTACAATATTTTGCGATATTAAAATGGAGTGGGGTGATAAAGAGAACCGAATCGCTGTGATTGCATTACACAAAGTAGGTATGGAGCCAAATGCAATTTTTAAAACTCTCCATACGCTTGGTATTAGTAAAATGTTTGTGTACCGGGCTATTATATTATATATAAGGGAAAGAATTTGAAAAAATCCTGTCCGAAAGCAAAAGATTTTATCTCGGGAGATGAAGATAGCACCTAGAACCATGTCGCGTATTTTAAAAGATGATTTAGGACTTGCGGTCTATAAGAGACGTGCTGGTCATTTCTTAACTGATAATTTAAAAGAGAATAGGGTGGTAAAATCGAAACAACTACTGAAGCGGTACGCAAAGGGAGGTCATAGAAAATTTTTGTTTACGGATGAGAATTTTTTTACAATTGAGCAACATTTTAACAAACAAAATGACCGTATTTATGCTCAAAGCTCTAAGGAAGCTTCCCAATTAGTCGACAGAGTGCAACGTGGGCACTATCCGACTTCAGTGATGGTTTGGTGTGGTATTAGCTATGAAGGAGTGACTGAGCCATACTTTTGTGAAATATCGGCACAAGTGTATCAAGATACCATTCTTGAGAAGGTAGTGAAGCCCCTTAACAACACCATGTTCAATAATCAAGAATGGTCCTTCCAGCAAGACTCGGCGCCAGGTCATAAAGTTCGGTCTACGTAGTCTTGGTTGGAAACGAACGTTTTGGACTTCATCAGAGCTGAAGACTGGCCGTCGTCAAGTTCCGATCTTAATCCGCTGGATTATGATTTATGGTCTGTTTTAGAGAGTACGGCTTGCTCTAAACGCCATGATAATTTGGAGTCCCTATCCAATCCAATCCTAGTCCAATCCGTACGACTGGCAGTGAAAAATTTTCCCATGGAAAGAGTGCGTGCTTCTATTGACAACTGGCCTCAACGTTTAAAGGACTGTATTGCAGCCAATAGAGACCACTTCGAATAAGCTTTTTATAATTTAAATTGTTTTATATTTATGTATTAAACTAACACACTGTAAAAGTAATAAATGTTATTTTCAATAGATTTTTTTTTCCTTTGTCACAGTATTTATGGCAAGACTAGGTATAAAAGCACTCAAAAATCAAATGTGGGTAATTATTTCACCATTTCGCAGTGAACATTATTAAATATTGTTAAAACCGCACCCAATGACAGCGAGAGCTACCTATGAGCCAACAGCGGTACTGTGTGCTTAGTGCGAGTTATTAAAGTTCTCGATAGCGTAAACGCTTATTTAAATGTGTATGGAGTTGGAACGTTTGCGTACGTTTGCCGCTAGGGGCGCTGTTCCAACTGCATATAAATTCGAGTTATCTTTTATGCTATCGAAAAAGTTAAAAAACTCGCACTAAGCACACTGATCAGATTTTTTTGTTCCTTCAAGAGAGCGTCACGATTGCACGGGTCACCTACGATTAGCAATGGCTAGTTAGCCATTTTTTACCTTTCATTTAAATTTCATTTTTAGTACAAGGACACTGAGATAATTATTTCGGCCACGATGACTTCATGACATGTTTTTACATTTCTATGTTGCAAAGTGTTAAGAAGTTTACTAGTACATATTATTATCATCATCATTATCCTGCCCTTCTCCCAGTCACCTGGGGTCGGCGCAACATGTTTTCTCCTTCCATAGTCTTCTATCATATACCATTTCTTCGCTCACTCCCCTCTTACCCATATCGTTTTTCACACAATCTATCCATTTCTTCTTAGATCTACCTCTTCCTTTATATCCTTCCACATTCATAATTAACACTCTCTTACCAACCTCATTTTCATTTCGTCTCATCACATGTCCATACCGTCCCAAACGCGCACTCCTCAGCTTCTCTGTCACAGGTGCCACTTTCAGACTTCCTCTAACATATTCATTCCGTATTCTATCCATTCTCGTTACTCCACACATCCATCGTAACATTCGCATCTCTGCTGCATGCAATCGCCTTTCATTCGCCACTTTTGTTGTCCAACAAGCAAAGAAGTTTGAACAAAGAAGTTTACTAGTACATTACCTCTTAATTGCGTTTTGATATCCCACGAAATCGTGACAAGTGTCACAGTCTGTTATGATCACATTCTCGTAGCCATTTTATTTTTTATGTTGAAACACTCGTATTTACTCAAACAATGGTTATTTTAACGATTTATTTTTCCTCCACCATGTTTGTAGGTTGGTTGGAGATAGTTAGCAATCGAGGCCACCGTCATTAGAGTGGAGTCAACTTTTCTGCGTGATGTGAATTCAATTTGAATAGTTTCGGCTGCTATGCAACCTCCTCCACTTCCACATCATTGGATTCAGAGAGCAATACACTGGGCAATTCCATATCCAATTCGATAGGCTCAGTTGTTGGTCGTATAAATCCTATAGTAACTCTGGGCTCTATCATGTTACTAGTGCTTGACACTTCCTCTAATGTTATTGTGGACGTGGTGCTCTCGTCTATAGGACTGTCTACTACGGAGTTATTTGATTTCGGCAATGTCCGAATAAATTTCCGTATACCCGTATTTAACTTCACGTAAACGGAGCCCAACATAAAACTGAGTCTCCGCCCCGCCTCCAATAAACGCGGGATGACATCATCAGGTACACCCACTACACACAATGCCACACCTTTTTGTGGTAGGTACCTGTACGTGCGCCAACGATTTATCTGTGCCCAATGATTTTGGTTCATTAGAACTCGGAAAACCATGTCTTTATCTTCCCATGTACCCGGTATGAGGATACGGCAGCGAATGAACGTTGGAAGATCAGATAATTTTTTAACTATTGGTTTAACGTCAGCGGGTAAGGTTATATCGGAGACTGCTTTTGTTAGCCAAGCTAATGTGAATTTGTCTAGGCACCAAAGTTTCAGGACTCCTTCTGAATACGTCGGTTTTATTTGAAACGATGGAAAGGGATGTACAGGCCTATCTCCATCACAAAAGTCGAGGATCGCCTTGTGCAGAAGCTTTTGTACCAGTTCTGAATTTTCTTCACTGATGTAGTTTGATTTATCGGTCGTGATGGCCACCATCAGATCAGTCCTATCAGCAGAGTAGGAAGTATGGCTTGTACCAGTAGTAAGCTCGAGTTTGTGCCTCTTGGTGTCCTCTTTTGGTGTAATACTCTGTTCAGGCAATGTCAATTTGTTTTTGAAATTTTTGTGTGACTGTTTCATGTCATTATTGGAGCAAGAGAGAACATTGTTATGAATTTGTTCAAAATTTATATCTAGTTGAGGTTGTATGATGGATGATCTGACGCTATCTGTAAATAAAGATTTTAAAACGTTTAACATTATATAAAGAAACACTTAAAACATTTAGTTCCAGATTTTTTATTTTATTTTTAGCAACATACCAATTCTAGGCTTTCCCCTTGATTTACTTGTCTCAGCATAATTATGTTCCATTAGCAAATATTGTACAGCAGAGTTGTCATTAGAGATTTCTAAAATTAAAATGAGTATTAATTCAAACACAATAATTTAGATTAAATTTATAACCCTGCAAAGTTTTCAAAAGACAACTAAGACGAACATCAACATTATAAAATAAAAGACAAAAGTAATGAAAGACTAAAATAAATTAAACCATCTTTGGCTTTATACTATCAGAGCTAAATCTGTAAAAATATATTGGGTGACTAAGTTGTGTACGGGAATCGGTCAGTTGCTCAAGAAATATGATAATTCATTACTATGCATTATTCACAAAATCACAAAACATATTAATATATTTACCTACACACATTTATATTATTAATATATTTTGCCATGAAGTATACATTTATTATACAAGGTCTCGTAAAGGGTCTAAGGGTGAGCCGTAGGTCTGTAATCAACTGTAGATAGTGTTCTATTATGATAATCGATTTGACAAATGTTAAAAATGTTCCCAAGTAAATAGTTTCGGAATAAAGAGTACTTGAAAATAATGAACAAACTATTTTTCTGCCGACCCTTGAATTACCTTTTACGCAAGGTACCATAATATGATTCGTAGATAAAAATAGGGCTGACCGAATGTAAAAAAGATATAAATTTGTTTTTATTTATTGCTTAAATGGGTGGTCAGAGCCTATAGACATCAACAACGTAAATGTCACCACCCGTCGTAGTGGCATATTAAACAGCTTCTTTTGTCTTTACAATAAAGCTGAAATTCAGTAACATTCGCCATAATCACTTTAAAATTTGCATTGTTTTATCTTTAGTAATATGCTTGTATAGTAAATGTTATGGTTGCCATATTCATTGTTTGAAATGAACTATACAGAATTGTTACTGTCTTTTTCGTTCAGACCCGTTTCTCTGAATGAACAGTGTAGGTAACAATACTTGTACCTAGTCAGGTCATAAATTCTGTCACATGTTTAATGTAAAATAATTGAAACAAGTTTATTCATTATGTAACCATTCATATACCAAAATGAACTTAACAAAACATAGATTCTTATGACACTAAAGTTTATTCAAAATGACCTCCGTGATTTTGAATACAGGCCTTCAATCTGCGCGGCCAGTCGTCTATCGCAGCACGAACGAGGTCCATGTCAATATCGGCGGCTGCCTTAATCAAGGATGTCTTGAGTGACTCCAAATTGGGATGAGGCTTTGAGCACGCCTTTTCCTCCAAGTGTTGCCATATCTTGTAATCTNGTTGCTAACACGAACCCTAGCAAGAGCCGTGCTTCGCAGAATCTACCACCGGATCGGAAACGCGACCCACTGAGAAGATCCGGCGAGAAACTCAGTGGGCTGTGTCTGAGAGTTAATTTACTCGTCGAGCCCTTCGTCGCAAGCGACGGGTTCGACGAGAACGGTGACCGGTGCTTGAAGTACCTAAAAGCACCGTTAGTGGATCGGGAGGATCCGAGATGACGTGTTTTGGGCGACGTCGACTGCTTTCCATTCTGTCCGCAGGATCGGGAATGTAGTTACCGGCGGCCACGATGAGAGGGTTCTCGTGTCGTGCCGCTTTATCGAAGTGGTTTGAGAAAATAACGTGACACTCACTCTACCTACTAATAATTCCTATTCCGTTTTGTTTGTCATACTTACAAGTGAATCTTAGGACGTATTGTTCGTTGTTAACTTTATCAGCGAAGCAGATCAGCGCGTCCAGACTTGAAGTCCTCTCTCCGGTTGTTGGGTCTTCTCTGACGAACGTGTCGATGCAGTATTCATCAGGGGTCTGAACGAGCCACGGAGGAATGCTCTCTGGTATTTGTATGTACAGTTTACCATCCTGAAATTGATATTTCAATTTGTATTTGCGTTGCTATTTTTTTGTTGAACAATATTTTTTAATGGTGATAGGACCTCTTGTGATTCCACACGGGTAGGTACCACCGCCCTGCCTATTTCGGCCGTGAAGCAGTAACGCGTTTCGGTTTGAAGGGCGGGGCAGCCGTTGTAACTGTACTGAGACCTTAGAACTGATATCTCAAGGTGGGTGGTGCATTTACGTTGTAAACGTCTGTGGGCTCCAGTAACCACTTAGCACCAGGTGGGCTGTGAGCTCGTCCACTCATCTAGCAATAAAAAAAAAACATAAAGAGTGTTGTAACAAAAAGGCTAAAGTTCGAATAACCAAGACAGCTGGGTTAAGTGTTCGCGAAATCCACTCTGAAGATCTGAAAATTCACTATGAAAAGTTGGATTTTGTTTTTGCATGGCCTGCAGTGTAGCAATCGATAATACCTATATAATCAGTTGACGGGTCAATAGTGTTTTGTGATGCGAGTTATTTACTACACAAACGGTCAAAACGGTCAAAAAAATATTTTGCAAGTTTTGATTGCCTCATCTAAAAAGTAGGCTATTGCTTAATGGCACTGTGATTAACTAAAAAAAATGATCAAAAATATAGTTAGCGAAATGATATTCTCACAATAATATCATATCTGTGTTTATTGTTATTCTTGTTGTATTATTGTTAAACCGGTTCTGATGGCGATTTTTAATTTTACTTGGGTTTGTGCCGAAATGTTGAGAATTAATTCGAGAACTGCGAAGTTTTAGGGAATCATATTAAACAAGTATTACAGTCCCCGACATATTTATGTAAATAGTTTCTCTTGGGCCCGCGGTTTTTTTCCAAGTGTTTAACTGTTGGAAGATTGTAAACATAATCTCTAAATTGATCTATAATGTCAAAATAGTTCGCATTTTGCTCACTTGTGGCGCCACCGTCCTTGCTATAGGTATTTAAGTTTCTATTTTTGCAAATCACTTTCTATGTTTTTCTCTTTGCATTAAGCCGTTAACAATTTATTATATTCCGGAATATTATTTAAACATTAACTCAGAAAAAACAAAAAGACATATTGCAACAAAACGAACAAAAACACATGTTTGGTCTGATTACAACGACAACATGCAGAGTACCTACATGTTGCTTAAGTGACCTTTAAAAAACATTTGATATCGAAATTAAAGGCAGACATTTAAATTTTATTTGTGTAGATTATACGCAGAGGATTCGCTTGATACAAGAAGTTGCGCCAGATATTCTAGTCAAACCTGTTCCAACAGAGAAATCATAGTTTGAACGTACTACCTAGATTTACTAAAGTATACCGATTAAGTCTTTACAGTTTTCGTGCTTACGAAGTACTGAGGTGTTTTTTTTCCTCAACATTTAAATGCCGTTGAAGTCGTCGTGGCCTAACGGATAAGACGTCCGGTGCATAAGCATTCGTGTTGAGCGATGCACCGGTGTTCGAATCCCGCAGGCGGGTACCAATTTTTCTAATGAAATACGTACTCAACAAATGTTCACGATTGATTTCCACGGTGAAGGAATAACATCGTGTAATAAAAATGAAACCCGCAAAACTATTTAATTTGCGTAATTACTGGTGGTAGGACCTCTTGTGAGTCCGCACGGGTAGGTACCACCACCCTGCCTATTTCTGCCGTGAAGCAGTAATGCGTTTCGGTTTGAAGGGTGGGGCAGCCGTTGTAACTATACTGAAACCTTAGAACTTATATCTCAAGGTGGGTGGCGCATTTACGTTGTGGATGCCTATGGGCTCCAGTAACCACTTAACACCAGGTGGGCTGTGAGCTCGTCCACCTATCTAAGCAATAAAAAAAAAATACAACAGATTTTGTTTATAAGCTCAATAAGGAGACGAGAATACGTCCCATCTGATAATGAGTGGTCACATTACCAGCGTCGCACTTAAACCGGTGTCTGCAGCTTAATATCTGAGCAATAATATGACTAATAGCATAGTTAACATTAGAAATTAACATAGTCATAGACTTCTTCCAATAGGCTGTGATCGCTATGATCTCATTAATTAAATTCGTAACTTACGTATTTTCAACACATAAATGCCACTAGACGATGACCGTTTTTTTTTTTTTTATAACGCCATCTTTTGTGTCTTTAAAGCGGTTAGTTACCCTCAATTAAGAAAAATAGTATTATTATTCGCCAATAGATGTCGGGAAGAGTTGATTATTGAAAACAAGAATAAAACAACATTTTCTGAAAATAAATCGTAGCTAGATCGATTAATCGCCCCCGAAATCCCCTGTATACTAAATTTTATGAAAATCGTTGGAGCCGTTTCCGAGATTCAGATTATATACATATACATTAATATACAAGAATTGCTCGTTTACAAGGTATAAGATTCATACTAATATTATGAATCTGAAAGTTTATTTGTTTGTATGTGGGTTGGTTTGTCCTTATTTCGCGTCGAATCGAAGCAACGTGTTGACGTGATCTTTTTAAAGCGACAATTTTGGGTCAGTAACAAGGACTACTTTTTATCCTAGTAGTACATATCGTCGCCCATGGACTTCAGCAATGCCAGGGGCAGAGCCACGCCGCTGTCTACACAATATTATGTAATCTAAACCCAAATCAATACAGTCGAATTTCGATCATTGGATCTTTTATTGCGCGAACCCTAGTTAGAGCAATAAAAGTTTCGTTGTTAGCATGCATGCAATTTTAACATCAGGAAAATACGTCGAGAAATATTTATAAAATTTTATTCAATACGATGTTTCCTTTTCAACAAAAATATGTCTTAGCTGTAACCAAATAAGCGTCAGCATCGTATCTGTAATTCCCAAATAACAAGTGACAAGTGCAAGCCATATGTCATCGGTGGAATCGTAAAAACATGCCGTCTTGTAGATAAATAAATTAAATGAATTTACATTTACTAGAGGTCCCGCAGTAGTCGAAATTCGACTATAATTAATTGGAATTGTAAGTTTGTACACTATTATGATTGTATTTTATACTCCTATAATCACAAATCTCGCCAAGACTACACTATAAAAAATATGAACAAAGACAAACAATATTTAATGTATTCTCAATTTGACAACAGACTTCAAGAACAAAAGTTTGACAATAAATAGTATGCATGCGTGCGTGCGTCAAATACATGGTATGTAGTGTGTGTAATGTTTTCTTTATTGATTTAATGTATCTTTTATGCATTATTTAAAAAAAATATTAGCATTGTGCACTTCTTCTCTATATTCTCTATAAGTGTGGAAAATTTCATACTCCTCTGTCCGCGCAATTTTCGTAAAAAGGGATACAAAGTTTTTGCTTCACGTATTAATAAATAGATTTAGCTTCGATAATCATGTTATATAAATATTTTAGGTACACAAACTATACTAATATGATCAAAAAGAATTCGTGAATTGTCACGAATTATTGGTAAATGCCCCCGTATCAACACTACGCAGTCTCATGACATCTTCTTCTTCTTCTTCTCCATCGCTCCCTCATTGCTGAGGATCGTGACTCCGTTTGAGCTTGTCGACTGCCAGTCTCCATCGGTTCCGTTCAGTTGCCTGGTGTAGTGCAGCGCTAAGTGGTCCGCTGGTTTGCTCGATCTGGTCGAACCAACGTTTGGGGCTCCGGCCTCTAGGACGTTTTCCTTCTACTTTTCCAATGACCATCAGACGTTCCATCTTACTTATTAATTAAATTCAAGTTGAATTATTTTTAATCTAGATTTATATAGAAGATTCTTGAATTATTCATTTGTATTTTCCTCACAATAGTACATTGTGCACCAAGGGAGAAAAGTAGGACATTTCCTCCCGTGAGATGTCCTACTTTTTTCCCGCGGTTTTACTATTTTTTCTCCTACCAGGCCGAAAGCTCGTGGAGCACCGAGCCGGGGTCCAGGGGTGAGGCCCCGGTGGGGTCCAAGGGCGAAGCCCTGGCGGGTGTAGGGAGTTGGAGTCTCCCCCATACTCATAAAAAAACAATTTAACTGTTTTTTAAATTTTTAAATAAACTACTACTAATTGAATAAGAACTGTCTGATGAACTCATCTTTGTTTAATACTTCACTATTAAATTTTATTGCCTTTTGTTTATTTCACTTTTACACTAAACACAACATTGCAAATTACCCGAGCACAACAATGGCGGAGAATTTTAGGTGCGTGAGAGCAGACGTAGACACTAACGCGCATGCGCACTTGTCAGTACCTAGGGAGGAAAAGTTACACTTTCTCCCTGTACAGCGGGAGGAAAAGTTAGACTTTCTTCCCTGTACAGCGGGAGGAAAACCGAACTTTCGGCGTAGGTAAGAGAAAAAATATATCTCTAATACAATTTTCAATTTACACAGAGTCTCGTTTCGTAGTACGTAAATACGTAGCAAAGATTGGGCTAAATATAATTACTGAACAAACAATTCACCGTAATGTTGGACAGAGACGCGTGCCCTGGTCCCATTTTTTATCTTTAATTTAAGACTAATTTAGCAAAATCAAATGAGTAACCAAAAACAGAGGAAAGAAAGATGGCGAAGACGGTTAAAAAATGAGCAAGGCGTAATAAAAGTGTTAATTAATTTTTAATTATTATTATAACAGAATATTTTCGAACAGTGGAAGTTTTATTTTATGCGCTGCGATCCCTATTCTATATTTATAGGAACATATTATTATAATGCAGATTTCAATAGAAAAATCGTCTTGTAAAAATCGAACCCCTAAATTTGTATAATTACTAGTTCTAATGTGTATATATTGTCCATGCGAATAGGCACCTCCATGTCTTTTTCTGTTACGAAGCAGTTTTGCCTTGCTGTTTGAAGGGTCGGACAGAAGTTATCTAAGTCGATTGGGTCTTGAACCTCATACCTCAAGGCGAGCGGCTCAAATCACGCTCTGATGTCCTTGGACCCTGTTATGTGGGTCGTGAGCTCTTCAAATCATCTAACACATAATTATTGAAAAATGAAAACGTTATTACCGATATTACAAAAACAAATATGGTTCCATTGCCAAAGCTTTTAGCTAATTAATTATTTAACATACAAATGCGATCGGTAATTACGAAATGATAATTTAATGTTAAAGATACATATATTAACATGAAGAATATAATTACTACGTTCTGTATAATAAGTTGAAGCAGGAATTTTCCTTCGAGTAATTTTGAACAATACGTCACTATTATCTTGTTTTCTCAAAGGTCTCGATAATTTGATACATAGAACCAGTGCAAGATAATGCAACAAGTAGCTAAATAATTATATTTCAACTTTGTTACCTGTATATTTTTTTATGTTCTATACATTTTATTAGTTACAAGCGGCCTGCTCCGGCTCCGCTCGGGTCTTTAACCAAAATCTCAACGATATTTGACGTTGTGTTATTTTTTTAAATAGAAGAACACTTCTTGTGGCATAACCATATATGCTGTCGCGACACTTTGCAAAATAATAATGTGTTCTACAAAGTCGTAGTACATTATTTTATTCTATCATCAATAGTTTTCGCAGGGCACGCGATGCAAAGAATATTTTAGGTAATTTATTTACACCTTGGGTTACATTATTGGAGTTTTAGTAAAGATCCCTATTTTTTTTCAAAAAAGATTATAGCCTATGTCACTCGGGAATAGTGTAGCTTCCAAACAGTGAAAAAAATTTTCAAATCGGTTCTATAGTTTCGGAGCCTATTCAATACGAACAAACAAACAAATCTTTCCTCTTTATAATATTAGTATAGATAGAGATTAGTATAGATGCACATTACTTAATACTACTGTCTGGCTGTCGAGAGAATGCTTTCGATCGAACTATAATGATTTAATGATAACATTTGCCGTTATCAGGGCAAATAAGCAATTATTTTTCGTCGTAAATTCGACGTCACCTCAAAGAGACATTGGCTTGATCTCAACCCGTCAGAAACACGTTCTATCAGCGGACGGACTATAGTACTAAAGAGTAATGTACGGTCTGTAAATTAATTATTTTATTTATGAATATTACTACAAGAAATTGTCTTTAAATGATCATGAAAATGTCTAAAAAGGACAGCATTAATAGAGAATAAGAGAGAGAGAGTGACAAAGAGAGAAATCCTATTGCTGGACAGCCATAGGCACACAATATGCGTCCACGACATGACACCTCCATTTTTAGGAAAACAACCAAAATTTTTACTATCAACAGAACTTGTTACAGTATGTTACTATGTATATGTTATAATTATTATGACGTCACTGATAAAATGTATCAATTACGTTTAGATAGTAAAACGAATGTGGTTTTATTGATGTCAGCATGTTTGCCGACCTAATTGTGATTGATTGCAAGCGGTTTTTGATTGTGTATGCTATACTAGCAACGTCAAATTTCAAGCAATGTCAGGGCCGCGTCTAAACTATCCACTACCTATGGAATGTTCTGGAAGGATAATTTACCGGTGGTAGGACCTCTTGTGAGTCCGCACGGGTAGGTACCACTGCCCTGCCTATTTCTGCCGTGAAGCAGTGATGCGTTTCGGTTTGAGGGGTGGGGCAGCCGTTGTGACTATGCTGAGACCTTGGAACTATATCTCAAGGTGTGTGGCGCGTTTACGTTGTAGATGTCTATGGGCTCCAGTAACCACTTAACACCCCAGGTGGGCTGTGAGCTCGTCCACACATCTAAGCAATTAAAAAAAAAAAAAAAAAAACAACAAAAGCGTTTCATGAAGACGAATCAGTTTTATTATATTCTGATTGTTAATTTAATTTTTGTAAGCACTGTGTTCGAATGGCGTAAAATACGGAGCCGTAATAAACTTGTAAGCTAAAAAAAAAACACAATAAACAAGATTGATTTAAAAATAGATTACTGACCCGTGAAAGATTGTAGCCGATCTTGAGTTTTAATTATAATTTGTTTTTTACTGCATGTGTTTTTTGTCGAAATTCTTAATGATGGGTTTTAATATCTTTGAATGGTTGGATAGATAAGCTTAAGTGAGCAGTGGTAAAACACGGGGTAAAGCGTGTTATTTTTGCGTCGCAGACTAATGTGGAAATAGTCTTATAGGTTGCCCCGCTTCCGATACGGTAGGGTATTATCAGAAGATTTAGATTTACTGAGTTCGTTTCGCTTTGAAAGATGAGGCAGCCGTTGTACTGAAGTACAGTATAAGTAAGGTGTGCTTACAAGAAAGTCAACCGTATAAGAAACAAAAAAAAGGATCGATAATCGTGTCAAAATAACATCGATCAATAAAATCACTACTTCTAAATCTATAACATTATCTTATTGACCAAGGAGGCTGGAGCCAGGAAATTCTCGAGAACATTAAAATCCATTTTCTCATCATCAAATTTATTTAATGTTAAGGCATTGCCTACTCGTGATCTGAAGCAACTAGGTTCATTAGCCGTGAACCGCGCTATCGTTGTGACGTGACATAAAGTTGAAAATCGCACATCAAAAAATTAGTCTCGACAGTTTTTGTGGCATTTATTTATTTATTCATTAAATTTAATTAGTGAAAAATATGTAACAGAGATTTTGCAATGCATTGGACGCAGATAATTTTCAATATTAAAATATTAATTGCATATTTTGAAATTAAGAACTAAATAAAACCCAAATTTACATTCACATTTATATTGTTATTATAGAGTTATTTAATAATAGATATTGCCCGCGGATTCGCCCGCTTAATAGAAACTTTCTCAAGATGAAGTTTTATTCAAGTCCGTCAAATAATTATACTTGCTTTGATTTTGGCGTGAAAAAGGACAAAATGAAGATTTTTGATGAGAATAAAATGGTTTTTTTTTTATAAAAGTTGCCTAAGTCCTGCCTTAAAACCTATCACATAAAGAAAACATGTCAATCCGTGGCTTCGTTTTGACGTGAAAGAAAGACAAACACACAAACAGAGTTTCACATTTGAGGCCGTCAGCGCAAAAATGGCTAACCCAGATTTTTTTTATATTCATTCAACATATGTAGTTATATTGGAATTTATTTAAAATATGATAAATTTTGATGCAAAACCGGCCGGCCTATCCATAGTTTCACCCATAAATAACAGATGCTTTGTTAACATTATTTTTGCGCGTATTTTTTTTTGCCGACTCAAATTCAAATTAATGAAAATTCAAACCTAATTGCCTCTATGGTAAGTTTAGGCCACTTTTGCGCTGACTGCCTTATATATAATCTTATAAACAGGTAATGTGGAGACTTGTCATTTTATGGTGTTTTTAATCACGTAAATCTGCCCTATCTTATACACTACAATTCAATTTTGTTCTTATTGCATTTAGACAGTGCTATAATATAGAAAAGCGACTTCATAGAATTTATGAGACAAACTACGAGATGTTTTATAAGATTTAGAATGAAACACACACTCATTAAGAGTAGAAATAGGCAGAGCGGTGATCGCATACGTGCGTGCCTGATTAACACATAAAATCCCTTTTACTACCATTTTGTTTATTGGTATTTTATGTTTCACCATTAGCACTAAGAGTGACGAAGTGATTGACACTAACCGCAATGAATTCGCTACCAACTTAGTTACTGTTTAATGTCTTATAAATATTTCTGTTATTATCCGATAGACAGAGGCGGCTGGTGATGTTGTGGGTAATTGTTTTCTTTTTCTTGTTCTGCCGCGAAGGAATGCCCCAGTTTAAGGGGAAGGGTAGCCGTTTTTTATTCCAATGAATTTGAGTTTTTGATAGGAGAATTAGTTGTGACGTCCATTGCCAACATTTTTAGTGGTGGTAGGACGTCTTGTGAGTCCGCACGGTTAGGTACGACCACCCTGTCTATTTCAGCCGTGAAGCAGTAATGCGTTTCAGTTTGAAGGGTGGGGCAGTCGTTGTAACTGAGACCTTAGAACTCATATCTTACGGTGGGGGGGCGGCATTTACGTTATAGATGTCTATGGACTCCGGTAACCACTTAACACCAAGTGGCCTGTGAGCCCATCCACACATCTATGCAAAAAACTAAAAAACCAAATGACAAGACGAGAAATGATGCGACGTAAATCATCTGCTCATCTATATATACAAAATTCATACGTATGTCGCGATAAAATGTAAATATCGAATTAAATTTGATTAAGATTTTTTATCTCATTCGCATTTATTAAGTTCATCTGTCGCACTTCTGTCAATAAAACGATAAAAATACAGCATCTGCTTAAGTGGTGTTGAATTTAGTAGGTAGAACCGTAATTGAAAAAAAAAGATCTGAATACAGTTTTGAAATAGAATACATTCGTCAACAATAATATTAGAATAATGTATTTGATAGTTCCTTTTTTTTCCACAGCAGAAAATCGCCGGATCCCCATTAAAAAATATGGGAAGTTTTTCGATAGGAACGTAGGAAGGTATGTTTTCATGTGTGGCCTAATGCTAGCCTATTTTCACAAAACCATCCGGTTTTTTTTCCATAGACTTGGTTTTGCAAACCAATATTCTTGGGAAATAAGAGTGTCACGGAATGGTAGGCAGCGGCTTGGCTCTGCCCCTGGAATAGCTGAAGTCCATGGGCAACGGCAACCACTCATCATCAGGTGGGCCGTATGCTAGTCTACCTACAAGGGCAATTAGAAAAAAAAAACATTTTTTTTGTATTTTAGATTCGATTTTTTTATAGGTGCGAATTACTAGGATTTCTCATGGGACCGACCCGACAGGTGATATTACAAATAGATTTTTGTACAATCTGATGGGACTGTACATACATACTGGTAAACGTATGTGAGACGCTAATAATTCTTTTCTAGGGCAAGTCAATATGAGGAAAACGAAATAAATCAACGCAGACTACCGTTTTTCGAAAAACAAAGTTGAATTTTAACAAGTGCATTTGTGGTTTTTACATTCATTCATATTGTGTTGTTTAAACAAACGCGCCTCGTTTAAGCTTAACAAAGCAAATTTATCCTTACCACTCTCAAGACAAAATTCTTTGTGGCTTGCCCTATTCGTATCCTCGTCTTGGAATCGGTGCAGTTCATTTTCCCGGGCACATAATGGAATATATCGGAAGCGTTCACTTTTAACATTTCGTACGCATAGTTGTCCCAAACGGGCGGCGCGAATCTCTCGTACACTTTCACACATTGTTTGCTTTTATAATTGTAGCCATAGCCGAGGGGGCAACACTTTCTTATGCACGTCCCTTTCAAGCACACGCACCCCCGGTCCGATCCGGTTCTCTTGTCAGTATAATATTCACTTTGGTCGTACCGCACCCCGTCGTGGTAGATCACACCACCCGATAAATGGGTGCCCGCTGTGATATCCACGCTGTTCTCGTCGTCACATATTTCCAGTCTATGCGATTTCCAACACAAACCCGTCGCGACAAACACGAATAACATCAAAACAACGGACATATTGAACGAAATTAAGCCGCCGCCGCAACTATGAATTACTTTTATTATAACCGTTATTTAAACTGTCATCGTTTCAATGGGGAGCACCGGTGCTCACCGCGGTCACTATACGACTAGACACGATGAGGATCGTTGAGTTGTTTCAACCAGAGATGATTACTCAATGAGGGAATTCCGCGGCACGCACACGTATTATTGTATAGTATTAAAAAGTGTTAATTCAATCAGCGTAGTGACTGAAGGACGAATTTTAAATTGGTAGGTATGCTTTTAACATTATTGTGATACTCTGAAAATACTAGCGTGCCGTTCGTATACTTTTTTTGCTTTAGACTTAATTTTTCGCGCACGAGTTGTTTGAATTAGGATTGCTAAAACCGGTTTTGGTCACTATTTTACACGTGCACAACTTAACAAAACATCACGACGAATATGCAACAGCTCTATCGCACTATTCTTTTTGTCACGGCTTTAATAAAATTCATTGTGACACAGCAGGATATTCTAGAAGTTATCAATAAACTGGAAATCATTTAAATATCAGGTAAACAAAGAATGATTAACTTATTATAGTTCCGTATAGTTTATTTGTTCGTATTGCATAAGATACTTCTGTTATATGAACACGCGAAACTCATTAATACACTATAAGTTTTTTTTATTATTATCGGAGGCAGAAATTTAAAAATTCACGAAATATTTGCACGACACATTCTCGTTTTTTTGAAACGAGTGACCACGACGCGATCTTGTCAGGCACTGGACCGGTTCCAAGTTTTTGGATCCAGTTAAATAAAGTTACAATAATTTATGTACGTACGTAGCGAAAGAAAGGTCTAAGATGACGTTTGTGAAGCGACATTACGTACAAATTTTAATGTATATAGGTAGGTAACTCGATGTTTTTGTAAACAAAAAAATCTGGTCTTTACTTGACGCGTGACGCGGGACGTTATTAGTGAGAGGAAGCTATTATCAATTTAATAATGCCTTGACTTTAAACGTATAGTTATGAAAATTACTCGTGAACGATGTTAAAGATCAGGTAACAGGTCCGTGGAAAATACGACGTGAATGCCCGCGCTCACCTTTAGAGTGAGTGGGCTCTTTAGCTCGGCTAAGGCTATGTTTTCCCATCTCCCGCAGAACTCACAGCTCAAGGGATCCAGAACCGAGCAGAGGAAGGAGGGGATAGGGAGGGAGGAGGGGTGAGGGAGGGATGAGGGGTGAGGGAGGGATGAGGGGATAGGGAGGGAGGAGGGGATAGGGAGGGAGGAGGGGATAGAGAGGGAGGAGGGGATAGAGAGGGAGGAGGGGATAGGGAGGGAGGAGGGGAGAGGGAGGGAGGGAGGAGGGAGGGATAGCGTTTAACACTGTAAACCAACGATGGGGTGTAGATAACTAGCGGAGCATCCGGTAATCCATAGACTGGCGGTCGCTATGATAGCATGTCCCTAACTTGAAGCCTAGCCTGGTTCCAGACCGACACCTAGGTCAGAACGCACAACGCTGCTCACCTGTATCTCAAAGGTTGCATCGCCACTAATATTCGGCGGTAAGCGCCTCTGTTTCCAAGTTCACAGGCGGGGTCCAGGTCAGAACGCACACTGCCTTGAAAAAACGATGTATTATTCTCATATTACCCTGACCGCTACAGTTCCGATATTGCAGACGACGTAGCAACGCGATTTTATCGCGGGTCAAGGCTTGGCATCACAAGGGACCCCGTACAGGGTCATGTATAGGGACCTAGGGACGTCACATCACGTAGAAGTGGCACCATAGCGAAAATAACATCTATCCTGCCCCCTAAAATAGGAATGCATAAATGGGCAGGTTCTGAATAGGGACTAATGCGAGTACTGGTAATTACCGGTTTAAATTTTTTTTTTTTTTTTTATTGCTTAGATGGTTGGACGAGCTCAAAGCCCACCTGGTGTTAAGTGGTTACTGGAGCCCATAGACATCTACAACGTAGACGCGCCACCCACCTTGAGATACAAGTTCTAAAGTCTCAGTATAGTTACAACGGCTGCCCCACCCTTCAAACCGAAACGCATTACTGCTTCACGGCAGAAATAAGCAGGGCGGTGGTACCACGCGGACTCACAAGTGGTCCTACCACCAGTAATTACAAATTATGCGTTTTTATATTAACTTTTTAAACACGGTTTAATTCGTTGGTCCCATTATCGGACCACAAAGGGCCTAAAGATTCTAATTGTGATTTAATTATCTGTCAAATCTAGCAAATTGTTTTTATATAAAATGACAATGTGCGAATGCGATTTCAACAAAACATCGTAGTAATAATATTGCTTAAGTTCATATTCATTCGAATACAAATGTATTTTTATTTTATTAATATAGCAGCGCAATGACAATGCATTACTATGATTAGACAGCTGTCGTTTCAGCATTAATTAAAGCTTCCATTGAATCATCATAAATACAAAAAGATCAAATCTCAAGGTAAACAAACAACAGGATTTGTTGACCTGACAATGACAAAATGTGTAATAAAGAATAAACTCCAAAATTTTGCATCTACGAATCCTTAGCTCTTGTAGCTGTCAAAGGGGATTGTGATGGAAGCGTGAAAAAGGGATAGCTGCTTTTGTAGTCATCCCCCGAAACTGTGGATTGAAATAAATGAGGTTTATTTATTTTTAACTTCACACTTGTACAACATTCAACATGTTGATTTCAACATTTGTACACACCAAGATGCACATGGCCCAATTACCTCGATTACATCTAGATTATTCGGTGTTTGTGATGTGTTCATTCGAACATGACACATGTTTTTATGAGTTTTTAATAAAAATTTAAATGGTATTAAAACTTTAAGTAATGGTTTTGTTTAGCAACATAATTATTATTAGTCAATCGGCAAACGTTCCAACGACGCGACGTTCAGAAAACATTCCACTAACAGTATAATAGTATCTGATTTACATATTCATTAATTTATCAGTATTAGTGAATTATTTATTAGCGTTTATAAGGTTGTAGGAATAACGCAAAAAAAAAAAAATATTTCCTGTCTATAAATAATCATAGCACACCGCAACGGAAAAACCAACGTTTTAAAACAGTGATTCTCAACCTTTTTTTTTGTTGCGGCACATATTTAACGATTTCAAAATTTGGCGGCACACAAAAAAAAAGATAAAAATTATTTACTTACTACAACACTACTGCATAAATAGTTTATCAAAAAATTTTAATATACGAAATAAACTAAAATATACTATAATTTTTTTTTTTGTGGATTTAAATTTATATTAATGTTTAAAATAGTTTTCTTTTAAAATGATATAATTTAATAATACATATTAACATTATTATATATTCGCAAAATTTGGCGGCACACTTTTGAAATTTGGCGGCACACAAAAGTGCCGCGGAACAGTGGTTGAGAATCACTGTTTTAAAATATAAGCGATCTAATAATAAAAAACGTGTTTTCGTTTTTTTTATTCTCTGTTATTTAAAAGATGATCTTTTTTTTTCTACCTCTGCTGACAGCCTTGAGAGGCTGTTTCAGCTTCGCCCTAACGTGTAGAACCTACCACCGGATNCTTTTGAAATTTTGGCGGCACACAAAAGTGCCGCGGAACAGTGGTTGAGAATCACTGTTTTAAAATATAAGCGATCTAATAATAAAAAACGTGTTTTCGTTTTTTTTATTCTCTGTTATTTAAAAGATGATCTTTTTTTTTCTACCTCTGCTGACAGCCTTGAGAGGCTGTTTCAGCTTCGCCCTAACGTGTAGAACCTACCACCGGATCGGAAACACGACCCACTGAGAAGATCCGGCGAGAAACTCCGTGGGCTGTGTCTATGGGTTAATTTACTCGTCGAGCCTTAGAAAACTCGCACTAAGCACACAGATAAATAAAGGAACTCGCGTCAGCCTTGGTAGTTGAGCGGCTTATTGGAGCCCGTTAATAGCGTCAATGCACCACCAAGAAACATGAGGTTGAAGAGGAATCAGAAGCAGGATGATAGTTGTGCCTACCTATGCGTTCTTACATTAAACCTATAAAGAGTACTGTGAAATAAAAACTCAAAATGAAAACAAGTATTTGGCTAAAATTAAAAATTACGGTTTCGTGTCGCGACTGATCGTCGTCCGTTAATTTACTCGTCGAGCCCTTCGTCGCAAGCGACGGGTTCGACGAGAACGGTGACCGGTGCTTGAAGTACCTAGAAGCACCGTTAGTGGATCGGGAGGATCCGAAATGACGTGTTTTGGGCGACGTCGACTGCTTTCCATTCTGTCCGCAGGATCGGGAATGTAGTTACCGGCGGCCACGATGAGAGGGTTCTCGTGTCGTGCCGCTTTATCGAAGTGGCTAAAATACCAAAGAAAACACTACATATAGTATTCAGATGTCTAAGTCAATGATTCTCAAACTTTTTTGTCACGATATATTTAACGTTTCCAAAATTGTGACGGAGAAAAGTTTAAATTTCGATTATTCACGTACCCGTAATGCACTATGCAAAATAGTTTATGATAATAATTTTGGCGCACTTTGAATTTGACAGCACACAATAGTGCCGCGGTACAGTGATGAGTGATTGGGAATCGTTCAGCCTAAATAGTTCTTTGTATTAGTTATTGAATTTTTAAATATACTGACTGACGGGATCAATGTTTTTTTTATTGCCCTTGTAGACAGACGAGCATACGGTCCGCCTGATGGTGAGTGGTTACCACCGCCCATGGACTTCAGCAATGCCAGGGGCAGAGCCAAGCCGCTGCCTACCGTTAAGTACTCTCCGCAAGCCTCGTTTGAAGAAGGACAAGTCATAGCGCTCGGGAAACACCGTGGAGGGGAGCTCATTCCAAAGCCGGATGGTACGTGGCAAAAAAGATCTCTGGAAACGCACTGTGGATGAACGCAGTGGCTCCAGGTAGTATGGATAAACTTTACTCCGGTGGCGGGCGGTGCGACAGTAAAAACGAGATGATGGAATCATCTCAAATAATTCCGCAGAGAATGTCATCGAATATCGTTTAAAATCGAAGTTGCGCTACGTTTTTATTTTAACGTCTCAACGACACCTTTCCTTGTAATTATTTAATTTCGAAATATTTAATTCGAGGCCGCATCGCTTTTGCGTGTTACAGCCAATGATTCATAACAGATCGGTCTACGTGAACCTTCGCAATTCATGTTTCCCTAGTAATATCCGTACTGGAATTGGCCAGATTTTCACGACGCCATCGAGTAATGTTCTTTTAGTTTTCAATGTACCTGGGGTTTTAATACATAGGTCAAGGGTCCATTCAGTTATTTAATATTTATTTAAATAACGTTCATATGTGGACGTGAGTGGGCTAAAGAAAAATATTGGTTGTGTATTTTTTTTTAATACCTTTTATATTGTACAGTTTTTCCCTCTTATACATCGTATTTCTCTCTGCTAATGGTTTGCTGGAAGAAAACTCATGAATGAGTTAAGCTCGCCTTTGTACATAGTATTTAGACATTCTTTTAAATCTGTTTTTATTGTATTTTCTTTTTTGTGTACAATAAGTATAAATAAAAAAGAAAAAAAGGGCATAACAAATAAAACTATTCATATTGTAATGTATTATTTATGAGACTATCGCTCTATTTAGCTGTGCTAACAAGATGGAGCGTAAATAATGCCACTGAAACGTGTTAATTTTTTTTTTTTTTTAAATCAGGATAGATTTTTTCCCGTCCCATCATCAAAGGTGTCATTAGCACTAACGTCTGTCTTCGTTTTCGGAAGCGGTCTCCTAGCACCCTAGGCAGCGACTTGGGCATGCCTCTGGCATTATGAGTGACGGTAACCACTTACCATCAGGCGAGCTGTATGATCGTCTACAAAGGTAATAAAAAAATGAATCTTTTCCTTCCAACGCTAATCATAAAATCCATCTTTGAAATTTTAACACCAAAGCTTTTATAAGAATAGTGTATTATTATGAGGTCCAAAAATGAATACTTACAATAAAACACTTCTAAGAGAAATAAAGCATCATATGCCCATTCAATACTGCGTAGCTATTAAAAAGTAAT